GGACACTTATATTAATAACAACAGACTATGGATTCAAATACATATTATATATTAGTACAATTTCTTACTGATTACACCTTGCCTAATAATTTGAATAAGGATGAACAAAGAAAAATTAAAAACAAAGTTTGATATTTTATAGTAGTAAATGAACTACTCTACAAGTAGAATAAAAAGGAATCTACTTGACCTTTTAAAGTAGTAAAACATAATGAAGTAAAAACAATATTATATAACTTGTATTCAGACCCTCTAGTTAGACACTTTGGAATTGATGAAACTTTTAGATGAATAGCTCTTCAATATTATTGGCTTCAAATGTTTGAGGATATTAGGACCTATATACAATCCTGTAAGGAATACTAATGAAGATACAAACCTACTCAAACTGAACCTCTGTATCCTATAAATGTTGAACAACCTTTTGATTGAATAGGAATAGATATTGTTAGACCCTTACCTACAACTAAATGAGACAATAAGTATATTATAATCACTACTAACTATTTAACCAAGTAGCCTGAAGCCTAAGCCCTAACTAATGCTAAAGCTGCTTCAGTAGTACCATTCTTCTATGAGGATATAATTTGTCGACATAGATATCTCAAGGTCTTACTAACTGATAGAGGAACTCATTTTGTAAATAAAATGCTAAATTCTCTCTGTGAATAATTAAAAGTAAAGTATAAACTCTTTTCTGCATATTATCCTCAAACTAATGGACTTGTTGAACATTTTAACAGGACTTTGTATGAAACTCTAGTAAAGTTCTCTAATGAAAACAAAGATGATTGGAACTTGTATATTCTTTCAGCTTTTTTTGCCTATAGGACTATAAGACATAATACTACTAGGCATGAATCTTTCTATCTTGTCTATAGATGTGAAGTAACTTTCCTTGTGGAATTCCAAGTTGAAACTTTAAACTCTAAAATACAAGGAGAGGATGACCAACAGGATTTACTATGAAGAATATACTAACTAATAGGAAAATTACAAAAGAACCAAAATCAAGCTCAAAGGAATATTGAAAAGTTACAAGCCTACCAAAAGCAAAAGCATGATAATAAACTCAAGCAGGTAATAAAATACAAAGTAAATAATCTAGTATTACTTTATAAAAGTGAACTCAAGGGAAGACAAAAGCTTATTGACTCTTGGAAAGGACTCTACTATATATATAAAATACTTGCTAATGGAGCTTATAAGTTGAGAACTATGATCGAAAAGTTCTCAAGGATCCTGTAAATAGTAATAGATTAAAATTGTATCATCAATGTACCCTACCTGAACTAATAGTAGTAATAGAGACCAATTAAGCCTGAAGTCCTTAAAAGCTAAGCCTCACACAAATTTTTTTTATTATTTATTCAATAGTTTAGTGACCAATTGTTCTGATGTCTTAAAAAGCTGTAACTACAATTTTATTTATTTTATCTATTTTATTTATTTATTTATTTTTATTATTTCCTATATTTAGTTTAGTTTAACTCTTTTCCATACATCAATTTTCTATAAAAAAACAAATACAAGAAAGAAAAAGAAAAAATTTTATAACAAAGCCTACTATTATAATTAAATAACTATATAATTTTCAACACCCAACAACAACAAACACCACTACAAAATTAAACATAATAGAGAAGTAGTAGCTCATACTTCAACTACTTCTTTCACATTATTGCTGACTAAGTTAGCAACTACTAAAACTAATAATGAAAACTTGAGCAGAGCTTCAACTAGCTCCCAAACAAGAACAAAAAAAATAGTACACCTCTATATAGAGAACTTTGACAGTATAGAAAAACTAACAACAAAAAGAAAATGCAAAATTAATAATGACGATATTACTAATATTACAACAACTTCTATAGATATAACTTTCGAGGAAAAAATTTCGAAAAAAAATTTAAAAAAAAAAGAAATTCTAGCTTACCCCCAAAAATTGCTAATATGATATTAACATCTGATACAACTAACCCAAATATAGATATGCTACAACAAACTAATGAAAATATTTTCACAGATCATGCATTCCAAACTAGTCTAGATTTATCCTTAAATATTCTCATAACTAACACCATTGCATCTACTTCTAGGTTATATGTAGTATATACAAAAAACAACAAACAGAATGTATCTGAGTTAGTTCCCAGACCTAGTTCTGTAGTACAAGAAATTAATACTAAAATAGATGATCACTTAACTGACAATAATGATACTCACTCAACTGATACAATACTTAAATAATACTTACAAAAAAAAAAATCATATAGTCAAGCAGTCTCTAAAGACCTTCCAAAGAATCTTAAAAGAACTCCTAACAAATACTTGAATCATGATAGAGAACAAGCATGAAAAAAACATACACAAGAAGCTCTTGAACAAATTAGAGCAAAAAGATTAGAACTATTTGATCCAAGCCTATGGATATATACAAAAATTAAAAACGCACTAAGCTTACCTCAAGATTTAAAGAAATTTATTAGATATAAACTTACTATAAGACCTAATATCCACTATATTCCAAGAGCAATTGCTGCAAAATTTTATCATCGCGATATAGCTTTTTTTAGAAGTTTTACTAGAGTAGTCACTATTAGACTCCAACATCAAAAAGAGTTTAATGAGTTGTTTACAGATACTCTAGAAGCATACAAAAAACAACATAATGTCCTAGCAACAAACAAGAAAAATCGTGACCAAATATTCGAACTACTATGATCAAAGCTAGCACTAGACTATTTGACCAATAAAGACTTTAATCTATTAGATGCTTAAGAAATTACTAGATATATTTTATATCTAACTGGATTTGCAAAAATCTTATAACAACTAGACTTTGATGCAATTAGATAAATGATCTCTAGTCTTATTGACAAAACTCTGCTTTCTCTACTATCTGAACTCTCTCTAATTCCAGCTTACCTGCGAGATGCTATTCCTTTTGATCTACCAATCTCTAATAGACAAACCATTATACCTATAATTAAAACTCTGTGACTAATATTTTCTTTCAACAGAATGTCTGATAGTTATATCTCTGATAATTGAGAGCCACTACCTGACTCATATAAAAATCTAAAAGAAGGATTGAGAAATCTCTTCCTGATCGAAGAGAGAGCAGATCTAAAAAATCTAACTAAATACAAAGAAGCTCTACAAGAATTCTATATTTTCTGAAAAATTCTACTTAGTTACTTCGACCTGTTAGCACCAAAACATTTACTACCTACTACTCTACAAGATTTAATACCCAGACTAAGAGAAAAATTTCTCTTTCTGCCTAGAAATCAGGAAGATTTTAAAGAACATATCAGAATCTTAAAAATGGAATACTCCTTTATAAAATTATCTAATGATTATATTATTTCTCGCAAATATCTATCTCAGAATCTATCAAGCTTAAAACTATCTAACTTTACTTTCCCTTTGAGAAATAAGGAAGAAGTCAATATATTCGAAAAAGTAATTTCACCTACATATAATATTCTAATGCCTTTACTACTAACATACTGTGATTTTAACTACACAAATCTTTCAGATCTTTTAGAAGACCCTGACCTGGTTACTAAAGTCAACTTAATACTACTAATCTTAATGTCTAAAGAACTAAGCATAATAGCTAAAGCTTTATGCGAATACTATTACTTCTATTCATTATCTCAATCTTGAATTGAGATACAGAAAAAAGAAATACAAACAGATACAGAACAAGATCTACCTAGATTACTCTCAACATTAGAACAGCTCAATCTAATATTAAAAGAAAACCCGATTAAAGATATAAATATTCCTATAAAAAAACACTACAATATTCCTACTACAATTGAAGTTTTATGACAACACTTCTTCTTCAATACAATACCAGAATACATCTTTGATCTAATAGACTTATCTGAACTTTCTTTTGATATTTTTGATATACAAACAACAACTCTAACAACAACTAACATACACATACAACAAACAGAAACAAATTCTTCTATGGAAGATCAATGAGCACATATCTTCATACAAATACTCTGTTTGCAGTAGAAAATATGAACGAATTCAAACTACTTGAGATTAACATACAGGAAAAAATTAATATCACTATATATAATATTAGAGAAATAAACAATATCTTAAAAATACAAAATTGAATTGAATATTATGCAGAATCAAACTTGTATATAATATCTATCACAGAGACAAAATTAAGAGATTCTGTAACAAAATCATTTTCTAACCCTCTATATAAGATATATACTTCAAACTTTCAACTATATAGACCAGAACAATAAGAAGCTAGCCTAGGGATAGCATTAATAGTCTGTAATCAATTACAACTATACATTCATAAAATTAATACCATCCCAGGAACAGCAATTTGCCTCGACTTCTTCTTTTCAAACAACAACAAGACCTGTATTATTTCAACTTATCTTCCATTGAACTATACAACACTACTTAAATATATTCAATTACAACTATTCAACTAGATTACAAAAGCTAAAACTAAAAACTGGCACTTAATTATCCTAAGAGATTTCAATGCAAACTAATACAGAAATCCACAACTTCAAATCTTCACAAATCTAAAAGCAGCTAATATGTCTAGCCTTATTGAATTTCACAATATTCAAATACCTACTTGGCAAAGCCCTACTGCAAATAGCCAAATAGACGATCTCTGGATTTCTTCAGATCTATTACTTGCAATTAATCCTCTATCTCTAATCAATACTATCTACATTTCTAATAGCGACCATTGCATCTTAAGCATTTCTTGGTATACTAGATTTCTACCACAGAAGAATCCAAGAAACAAAAAGAAAAAAAGAAAAATCTACCTCTTCGAAAAAATAACAACAGATGATTAGGAAAAATTCACTAACTCTTTAGATACCCTATTGAATACTCAACTTTCAATATTTAATAATATCGGAAAAGAGAACATAAATAAGATATAGAATATTTGGGTATTAAAAGTCAAAGAAACAATGAACAAACTTATTTCATACACCTTCACTACACCAAAAACCTTTCATGCCTTGTTTTTAAAAGCAACCAAACTCTATTCAGCTCTCAAAAATATCAACAAATGCTTACAATATCTATTAAGCAACTCTCCAGACTCTTTATCCAAAGCAAACTATCATCTGCTCAAAACAAACAAGCTTGCAGAAACAGATATTCCTCCAATAACTCAAGAACAACTCAACTTTTCACTCACTGAGACAATAAATCAGATATGATAATACAAACAGACAATATAACAAGCTTAAAACTTCGAAAAAAAACAAGAACAAAATGAATATATAAAATTCTATATAAACTAAAGATATTCTGACTTTAAGGATAATATTAGCTGCATAATAAATAGCATTCTACAAAGACGAAAAGAACTAGTCAACTTTGAAAAAATTATCCAAGATGAAAAAATAATTACAAACAGTGAAGAAATCAAAACAGCTATATGTACACACTTCAAAGACTGAACTAGAAGCAACCTACTAGATAATACCTTCTGGAAAGAATAGAACCTATACTATTTTCTACTCAACAGTATTCAAACCAATATTTATGATACACTTCTCACCCCAATTACTCAAGCTGAGCTCATATAAATAATAAATTCAGCACCAAAAAACAAAGCAGCTAGCCTTCCGGGAATCACAAATGAAGTTCTTCAACATCTACCTTCTATAGCCCTTACAACTCTGCTAAACATTCTAAACAGTTATATAATACAAGAGGTTATCTCTAATCAATAGTTACAAGCTAACATCTGACTAATTCCAAAAAAACAAAACTACAACTATAAACTTAATTCAACTTGTCCTATTACATTAATAGATCACACAAGGAAAATATTCACTAAAATTCTAACAAACTAACTAACTGATATTCTTGTCTACCAATAGATATGATCACTTTATAACTACACTGCCTTCCCTCATCAGTCTACACTCCAACCTATCTCTCAACTTACTTATATTCTAGAAGATGCTATGATAAACAAAAAAGAAATCTGAATCCTTTCACAAGATATGTCCAAAGCTTTTGACTCAATTCATATACTAATACTATGCAAAGCCCTAGAAAGAATCTGTATTCTAGAAAAAGTAATAAACTTGCTAGAATATCTTCTCTCTCACTGTACTAATAGAGTCATTACAAGTATGGGACTAACTGCACCATACCTAGTTAAGAATGGCATAGACCAAGGAGAAACAATCTCTCTTCTCCTCTGAAAAGTCTACTATGATCTACTAATTTCTAGAATACATAAAGAATATCTAGACTACAATAGCAAGATAACTACATTACTTACAAGAGAAATTCACACTTCTGTAATAGTATACATGTATGACTCTCTTTGGATAGCTCCAAACAGAACTATACTTACTAACATTCTTGATATAGCCTCCTCATTTTACAAACTTACCAATATCAAAGTCAATCCTCTAAAATCAATACTAGTAACAAACTCAACAAATTCAGATAATTCAATAATTTTTGACAACTAACAACTACTTGCAATAACAAAAGACACACCTTTTAAATAACTGGGAGCATGGTTCTCAACTAACAAAAAATCAAAAGTAGTCCAGAATGAAATTATCACTGAAGTTATGATTAATTTGAAGAAGTTACAATTTGCACAAATAACTAAGAAACAAGCAATTTATATAATAAATAATATTATTATATCACGTCTCTTATACCGACTATACTCTTCCTTTTTATCACCAAAACAAATCAACTTTATTAACAAAATATACGCTCAGACAATTAAACACAAGGCAAAACTAGCAAGAGGTGTACCAAATTCCTTTCTATTCAATCCAGATATTTACATACTAAATAATCTAGTACAAGCTCAACTTTCATCAATGATTTCTACTTTACAAAAAAATCTGAATCGAGCTGACTTTAATTCATCCTTCCTAAAGATTAGACTTTAACAACTACAAGACTCAGCTCTGACTAATACCTTTATTTTTGTAGAACTATTAGTCTTTCCAACTTCATAAACAAATACACAAACCTGTTAAATGATTATAGCTCTTCATACCTTAGAATTCCAAACATCTCATCAAGGTAACGATTGGCCCTGCTCTAAAAACTTTAAAAGAACTTTAATAAATCAAATTCTTATGAATCATCCCAAAGCATTATATCTCAAAGATAAACTAAACAATTACAATATCTTTAGTATTGAACAATTTCTAAATACAACAAACACAGAATTACTCGAATAGAATAACTTTCATCACAATATAAAAAAGATATCTAGAGGATACCATCCAAAGTGGTTCTTCATAATACAAGGTCTTATATCTGCATTAGCCAACCTAGCAAATAAACAACTACAATATAACATATATACTCTAAGTACTTAGACTCTAGCAAAAAAAGGATAGATAATAACAGACAAGCTAATCTTTGGAAGAATCTATAATCCTTATAGTAAAAATAAAAAAACACATCACTATAATCTAATTAACAATGATACACTAGTAGCCTACATAGGATGCTACCTAAAAAACAGATCATTCTATTCAAAATACTGCTATTTTAATGTAACAGAACTAATATATAACTTACAGGTAGATAGTAAGAAAAAAATTCATATCGACCTTTAAGACTTCAAAGAAGTGATAATAGCTAGAAATTCAATACCCTCATACTCAAGAGAAATATCACAAACAACTACATCTAAACCACTATACTTCTTTATAAATCCTCCAATACTAATTTGGAACAACCTAACCAGAAACAATCTCAACAACAACAAAATAACAGTTTATATGACAAGTACAAAACAAAATATTGAAAGAACTCAATGTATAGTAGCAAAATACTACTTTCAACATCATAATAATATAATTGGTTGCTATACTACTCGATAGCCCTCTCATCTAAATATATCACTTACTCTGCTAAACTTTATACTTACTTTTATGAGCTCACATACCTCAATTGAAATTATTACTAACAACTCCTCTCTAGCCAATTCAATTAATTTTATACACCAAATCTGACCACACAACTACCCAACTATAGACAAATAACAACATATTTATCTTTTCTTAATTCTAAAAGCTTTAACATATGATTGTAAACTTACAATTAACTTTAACAAAAATTTAGAAATCTAGGAAACCCCTACTAGTATTTTCTCACTAGATTCATTACTACAAGAATATCTATATAATTACTTTATTCTAAAACTTCTTAGAACTCTATACACATACCTGTTAAAAACAACATTAAAACAAATATACCAAATTACAAACTGACTTAATTGGTTTAACTAACAAAGAATCTCCAATTGGGAATCTTCTCTAGAAAATATTGACTAGATACTTACCTTACAATATATCCCTTATAGTGAAAGACCATTAGCTTTAAGCACTAACCCAATAGTATCAGCTATAAAAAATTTTAAAATCAAAATACTTTTAGAAGAACTTCCCATTTATCTTATCTTACACTAGAGAAATTCAAAAAAATACTCTAATTACCTCTATCCAAAGTACTTTAGAGCTCCAGAAGATATTATACACCTTTTAAACTATCCTCGTAACCATATCTCTTAATTTGTAACACCTGCAAATTTGCCTGCTTCTACTTTTAATTTTTGTAATTATTTAACTAAAACCTTAAATATTAATTTTAAATATATACTTTTTATGTAAAATATATTTTTTAATATTTATTTTAACAACTTTGTTAAAAAAGTTTTTTAAAATTATTATAAAAGTTTTGAGTAAT